TTAAACAAGCCCAAGAATCCTGGCTTGAGAATTTATGTAAAGAAATAGAGGATCTCCAAAAAAAGCATGACAGTTTCAACCTCCACAAGAAACTTAAATATACTGCCTAAATTAGAAAACAGAAAAAGGATCACATACTTAAAGAGCGGATGGAAAAAATTGTGATCACGAACAACAGTGCAAAGAATGAAAGAGATACATCACTGACCTTTTTGATGATGCTTCTAGAGAAAATGCTCCAAATACTGCCTGTGACAACCAGTTAGCCAGAGGTCCCAATATACTGAATTCGGAAGTCAAAAAGGCAATACAGCAAGCCAAAAACAATAAAGCACCTGGACCAGCTCAAATTTCTACTGAGCTACTTAAACTTATATATTAAAATAATCTAAGTAGGATTTAGAAACGGTCTAGGAACTAGAGAGGCCCTATTCTGTATGCGCGTTCTATTACAAAAAAGTTGTGAAATCCGAAAGAATGTTTATATTTGTTTCATCGACTTCGAGAAGGCATTCGACAGAGTACAACACGATACACTTTTCGATTGCCAACGGGCAGCAGGACTTGACCACTATGATATAAGACTGCTGAAATACTTATATTACAATCAAGTAGCCTCTGTTCAAATTGGAGACAGTCCGACTAAAAAAATATCCACCAAACGTGGTGTACGGCAGCGTTGTGTTTTGCCACCCACTCTTTTTAATCTGTACTCTGAAGAAATCTTTAGGGAGGCTTTGGATGACATACAAGAGGGCGTAAGACTAGGTGGAGAAATAATCAACAATATTAGATACGCTGACGATACAGCCATTCTTGCAGAAAATTTACAAGATCTCCAAACATTACTAAATCTAGTCAGTGTGTAATGATTATATTTTTTGCCCACCACATGGGGTATTATTACAAGGGGTAGAAAATCGGGGACTGAAACTAAGGGGGTGAAGAGAAGGCAAGCAAAATAATCGCGACTTGTGCGAACGGTACTCAGGGTTTGTTAGGAGAGCTGAGGTCGTGGATAAGTAAAAGATAAGGGGGTTGGATTGGGTCAACAACCAAAAAATGAAATAAGAAGTCATAAATCTCTTGGGATAAACAAAGCAAAAAGAAACAGAAAACACCTGTGGTAATTTCATATAGGGCGCCACTTTGAGGTGCCTACTTATACCTATTACAACCACTAGTTGTAACTAGGGAAATAATTATTAAACATAAAAACATATCTTTTTCAAATAAAACTCAAAAAAGGGGTTAGTTAAAAAAATAAACAAAATGTTAAGAAAACAAAATTTAACATTTATTATGTCTTACCATAAACAGTTGTTACAAAATATAGTGAATACAAGAATACTTAAAAAAAGACAATACAAAAATATTATTTCAATAGTCGCAAAATACAAAAATACAAAAAACTTACATGTCATCCATCCATTTACAAACTCTAGGAGTTGAAGATACTACAAAAAACTTACAAATGTTACCGCATAGAGATTAACCTTTTTTTTAGAACAAACAAAACAAATAAATATCGAAAAAAATAACGCTAGCTGTCTTATGTTACCATAATATTTTAAAAACTGAAAACAAATAAAATAACAGCTAAAGTCAAAATCCAAAATTTACAATATTAAATATTACTATTTTTAAATTTTAAAGAAAGCAATTATTTATTTAAAAAAATTGTCTTTCTTTACTTTAAAATTTGATCAAAAAGTTACCTGGATTTTTCACTAACCAACTGCACTAAAATTTGTGGAACCAGACGCCACTGGAACCTCCGAAACCCTAACTGGAACTGGGGGCTTCACTCTCTCTGCGTAACGAACAACTCCATCTCCAAACTGCCAAAAAGCCTTAGATGACAAACAGGGAGAAACAAAACGAGGATGGAAACGACGATTCTTCCAATCCTCACTCAAAACATTAATTGAAGCATTAACTGCTACAAAACTACTTTTCACTGCTACATATTTCCATAAAGAGATTAACAGAAAACCACAAATTCGACGAATGAATTTGGATCCGTAATTGAGCCTAAAACGACCCAAGTAAAAATCTATTTGGATCCATACCTGCGCCTACAACTACCCAAGTAAGAATGACGAAATTCTCTTAAGAATACGTTCACTTAACTTGGAATAACAAACACTTGACAGGAATTATAAAGCAGAAGATTCCATTTCTACGACGTACAAAAATTATAAGGCGACTTCGAATAAAACATTAGAAGAAAATGCCAAGAAAGTTCTTACACATCTTTAAAATAACAAACAACTCTAAAAGGGTTTATATTACTTGGCAACACAAAAATGATTGAAACCACTTTTGGGTATTTTAACTTGAAAGATACGAACTAACAAAAGTGGAAAAAATTCTTCGTTTTTTTAAACATGTATGAGGGGATTTCAATATATTTCAAAGAATTAATGAATCGCAAATGCTACAACTGAAGCAAGTTATCGGAGAGGCCTTAAAATCAACATTTTAAAGACAAAGTGGATGGCAGTTGGTAAGATCAATATAGATCAAGGTCTGATTTCTCTTAATGGAGAGAAGATCGAAAGGGTAAATCATTTCAAATACCTTGGCAGCTGATTAAATGTAAACTGTAATTCTGATGAAGAGATAATAACCAGGATCTAAATATCATGTAAGGCTTTTATGACCTGGAAACCAGTTTTATGCAACAGAAACCTGTCGATGAATATTCGTAAGAAGGTCCTGAAATGTTATGTGTGGTCCATACTATTGTACGGTTGTAATACATGAACGTTAAAAACCACAATGCTAAACAAGTTAGAAGCATTCGAATTTTGGTGCTATAGACGAATCCCAAAGATATCGAGGGTTTCGCACACTTCCAATGAAGATGTTCTTCAAATGATCAATTCAGAACGTCTGCTCATAAATACCATAAAGAGGAGAAAAACAGAATACTTTGGCCATGTAATTAGAGGACCTAAATACCATCTACTTCGCCTTATAATACAAGGAAAAGTGGAAGAAAAGAGATGGGGTGGTCGAAAGAAACTTTCATGGCTGCGTAATATTAGACAATGGCGTGGTTTCACAGTAGAAGAATTATTTCGCGCAGCAGCCGACAGGGAAAGGTTTCAGGAAATTGTAAACATGATGACGGCCAACGTCTGAATACGGACACGGCACCAAAAGAAGAAGATACTAAAACTATATAAATACAACATAAACCGGCAGAACAGAATCTCGCCCACTTATTACTATCTCATTAACCAACAACGATCGATTAAAAACTATGACAGCTGGATACAGGACACCAATATAGGACCAACTTCAGGAGGACTTGTACGAATAAGGAGCTCGCATTAGCGAACTTTGCTGGTTCGGAGAAAGATTTTTCTTATCGCACAAAGCTTCTGAGATACTCCTTAGCTTCGAAGGACCAGCTGGAGAGTCCAGCACCTGAAAGGTTGTTCCCTTGACAAGGGATAGGTGTAAATATTAAATATGTAAAGCCTTAAAATGTATCTTTATTGCAAGAAGACAAATAGAGTACATTACTGTAGAAAATAGCATTTAATAGTTTATGGATAAAAGTAAATGTTTAACTTGTATAACATGTAAAATAAAATCGTTGTTAAAATGTTAAAAATGTTGGATCGCAAATCGTATATGCACTCGTGGCACGATATGGCAACACCGCGACTTGGAACAATTGCAAAGTTGAGATTAAATATAAGTTTTCTACTTACAATAAGGCACAGCATCTAACTCTTGTTACCATGCACTCACTGCCAAAAATACTGGCCACAAAAAATAGATAATTGGAAAATAAGGAAATAATAAATAAATGAAGAAATGAATTTGACGGGTGGCAAGCTCTTGCTTGTCAGACCTTTTCTTAAGACGGTTGCTTGGCGACTATATGGTTTTTAGAAACTTGTTGGTCTTGCTAACAGTTCAGGACCGAGAATGGACTGGTTTTTGGGACTGGTCCAAGTTTAGATATAAGGGGAGTTTTTTTTATAAAAATATAAGATTTTTTACAATGTACAAATTTATGGTAAATTTGTACAGGACTAAATTCGGCTTGCTTTTCTGTTTGGTGAAAATTTTGCTTAGGTCCCAGTCTGTTATTAATTATTTTCACAAAAAGCTTATATACATGAGATAAGAAGCCGATAGGTCTGTAGTTTTCATTTTCTGTTACATCTCCTTTTTTTTATGTAATATTATCGTAATGCCACTATTTATTTTTTTTTGAGTAATTCCTTCAAAGACGCAGGCATAAAGAATTTTTAAAGCTTTTAGGATGCATTTAGGTATTCTCTAGTTTTGTAATTTTACTGACAATGCCATTTTCTTCCAGTGTTTTGTTATTCTTTATACTTTTTAGCATTAATTTAATTTCATCATCGGTTATATCTGGAAGTTCTCTGATTCTTGATTTAGAATTACTGGAATTTCTACCTCTGGAATGTGAGCATCTGAACTATATAATATATTTTTTAACTTAATATACGTAATATTATTTGTTTTTGTCTTCAACTTTTGTTTTAGAACTTTTTGGCCTTTATTTTATTTTATGGTATTATGAAGCTGTTTCTTTAGTGTTAAAATTCCACATATCTTTGCTAACAACTTTTTAAATGGATTGTTTAATGCAATGTTCGTTGGGTGCTTATCTCTCATGTATCTTCCTTTTTCCATACCAAATAGAAGAAGGGCTGTAAAAATGAGAGACAGAGGCAAAATCAAAGGTGTTTTCAATAAAACAAAGTTACAATCATTAAAAAAAAAACTTTCAAATAAAATGAGACGATAATCTAAATTATATAAGCAAATAAAGTAATAGAGTGGAGACCAAGTCAAATGGAAAGATATAGAAGTAAATCCCAGAAAATATGGGTGCGTTATATCTCAGCTATTTTAGGAAAACAATGGATACTTGATGACAGATAAGACAAAAGTTAACAAGATGTAGAGATGATAGAATATGGGTTAAAGAAGAAAAACGTTTTACTAAAGTTTTTAAAGTCTTATAATATAACTACAGCAAAACTTGTACTACAAAACTACGTACAGAACTACAATTTTTTTTAATGAGATCTACATTAAAATAAATAAAAATTAATCAATATATTTTATTCACTTATAACTTTTATATCACAAATATTTGTTTTTTACCAAAAATTTTATTATAATTTTTATTCTTCTAGAATACTCGTCAAAATTTTTCGGTTGATAACTCAACATACTCATAGAATCACCCGATTTATTAACAGCTTCTACATGATCAGGTATATCTTCTTTTTCACTTACCAATACTTTCATAACTAACAAAGCCCAAAATAAGGCTTGTAACAGACATATACTTAAATGATCTGAAAACCTAGAGAAAGGAAACAATTTGTCGGGATCCAAATTAAAATTACGAAGTTGCGAAGACAGTTTGTCATGGTAAATTTTTAGGTAAGTTTGAATATCATCTAGAACCTCCTCACTGCTGTTTACAAGCAAAAAATAAGAGAGATCCGCACATGGGCTTCCAAAGGCAGATATTTGCCAGTCTACAACACGCAAACTTTGTGGTTTTGTTTTATCATTTGGATCCTAAAATAAACATAGAATTTTAAATTGGTATTAAATTACTTTAATTAAAAATAAAATACATTTAAACTCTTTTTGGATATTGTCAAAATGTTTAAGTTTTCTAAGTTTTTTGTTTCTACCATATTTATCTATGGTCAGTACAAATAATAAAAAATAAGAAGATTCGTAAAAATCAATCTAAGGGCTAACAATACAAATTATTTTGAGCTTAAAAGTTTATGCAGCTGATGTAGTACATTTTATTAAAAGTAGGTTTTATAACCAAATTCATTTAAGAGAAAAGTAGCCGTCAACAAATACATACACAGAACACGTGAAACCTGATGTTTATATGATCGTACAGGGTTGTATTAAAATTCTAACATTTTATAACATCTGAATTTGAAATGAATTAATTTAGAATTTTTAGGATTACTGTTAAAATAATATTAACCAATGATTAATCTTCCAACGAAGTATACTTAAATATTAATTACTATTTAACTGGGAATATAAAAATAAAATAAAAATAGTAATTAATTTAAAATGCCACAAGAAAATAGCTTCAGAACAATACTTAAATATTAGTTTTTGAAAGCTGTCATTTAAGACCAATATTTGGAAATAAGTAATAATATTATCATTATTGATATAAAAAAGACCTCTTATATATAATAGACTTATACATTTCACATTGCATTAACATTAATAAATAAAATTTATTTAGTCGACGTTTTGGTTTCGATTTAACATTTATTTGTGTCAGCAGAAACGAATGTATATTTAGAAGAATTGTGATGCCACTATTTTTGACTTTGATGCCAGTTATGTCGAAGATGGTTCGAGATATCAAAATGCCGTTTTCAGATTTTGATTCAGGAGACAAAACTATATATGAATCCATCGATAGATCGTCCGCAACTATTGCATAAACGACAACGCACAAACTAACGTACTTTGACGTTTTCCTGCATATTTTTATGTTTTTAAATGATTCTTAACAACCTGATTTCAACGAACTATATCATGTAGAGTCTATAATGAAGTATGAGTAGCAAACTTATTTAATCAGAGGTATCCTAGGCTGCCTAATATTTCACAAGGTACTATGTCTAAAATTTATGCACAATTCAAAGAACTTGGACATGTCAAACCATTAAAAAAGAAAACCGAACTTCATTAAAAATGAGGTGAAAGTGGATATTTTGTTAAGTGTCGCAGAGAATCCAACGTCAAGTTCACGTCAAATTGCACGTCAAAATAATGTGAGTCACACAACTATCCTAAGATGTCTTAATCAAGAAACACTTCATCTATATAAATTGTCTTTTGTGCAGGAGCTAACAGAAGACGATCCAGAGCAGAATGGATTTCTGCAAAAGAATGATCGATAAAATTTACAGGCACAACTGTAGATATTGGTCAGCGGAGAATCCTCATTTGATCGTGAGACACACTCAGTATCCTCAAAAGTTGAATGTTTGGTCAGGTATTATAGGAGATCATAGTATTTGTCCTATATTTGTAGATGGTAACTTTGGTTTTTCAAATTCATTACCCTGTATATTCGTCATTATTGGAATCTCCTATTCAATACTAGTTCAACCATATACAACACTTATGATTTTATGTAGTCTGGAAGGTCTTAAATATATAAAACAGTGCAAAATATATAGATTTTATTAAATTTAAATATTTAAATGTAGAATGTAACCCCCTCTGCGGCTCAGTGGTAAGAGCGCCTACCTTTGAACCTAAAGGTCGTGAGTTCGAATCTCACTTGGGTGGAAATTTTCGTTTATTAAAAATTAATAAATGAAAATAATTTCTATCCCTGTGCGATTGCTTAGTATCAAGACATTTACTCTACACACACACACACACTACACACCTGACTGTAATCACTGTACCATGCCAATGACCATTAGTTGTCGACGCATTAAACTCAATTAAAAAAAAAAAAATGTTAAATGCTGTCATTTTGACATTTGTTCACCATTTACATTATTAACTAGAACTGACAGTAGTTGTGTTTCGAAATTTATGCAAGATAAATTGCTTCTCTAAAATGGCTCTTAACGAAAAATAATGAATTTCTATTCTAATGATAAGAGAGTAATGCGAGAGACAAATATCTTATTGTGAAGTAGCTAACTTGTTCAATGATACTTTCCCAAATCGCTCTCCTATTCATAAGGCGACGGTACAAAAAACTGTACCTGAATCTGGAGAAGTAAAAGATTGATACCGATCAGACAGATCGAGAAGAGTTATGAATGACAACAAAACTTTGAATATAATGCAAAGTTTTGTTGAAGATCCACATACATCCTTACGCAGGGTCACACTATTACATGATGTAGGTCGTTCATCAGTCTTACATAGATTACGTAAAAATAAATTTAAACCATAAAAAATTACCTTATTTCAAGAATTAAGTGAATATTACTTCGATCGTAGATTAGAGTTTACTGAGGCAATGATGGATAAAATTGAAAATTTTGATAGTATACAAGGCAACTATCGAACACAGTGATCAATTAAATCCTGCCCAAGTACTTTCGATCAATAGATCATCTTCAGGGGCATTTCGTCAGTTGTGGCCTATCCGACATGAGTAGAATATCATAAATGTAAATTTGGACATAACAATACAATACACAAAGACAAACAAACACTTTAAAATTTTTTAAAAGGAGAAGCTACATGTTATATAGAAGCCAAAGACATATTCTGTCGGATAGGCCACAACTGACGAAATGCCCCTGAAGATGATCTATTGAAAATTGAAAAAGATAAAAATTTCGTTAACAGAATATGTTTTTCCGATGAAGCAACCTTTACACTGCTTGGAAGTATAAATCAACACAATTTAAGGTACTGGAGTGACGTAAATCCACATAGGATGCGTGAAAACCATACTCAAAGACCAAAAAATTAAATGTATGGCCAGGTATAATAGGTACTCAGTTAATTGGGCCATTTTTTATTGAAGAAAATTTAACGTCAGGTAGTAACGAAATGTTACTTAGAAATGAAATTGTACCTACACTGAGAAACTTGTTTGGAGCCAATTTTAATCAGAAATGGTTTCAGCAAGATAGAATTTCAGCTCATTTTGATGTAAATGTTCGGCGTTATTTAGATAATATATTTCCCTAACGATGGATTGGTAGACGACGTAGAATTGAATGTCCTCCACGTTCACCTGATTTTAATCCTAAAGATTATTTTTATTGGGGATATTTAAAAAATTCAGTTTACAAGACTAAACCAGCAAGTCTTGCAGAGCTAAGGCAACGAATATCGATTAATCTCGAATAATTTCTAGACAATCATGGAGAAAGTCTCATGGATTAGGATACTTTCATCTCACAAATGGAAAACATTTTGAACACTCGATAAAATAACCATTATCTTAAAAAAATGTTGTAATCTATCAATTGTTACGTTTTAATTTAGTTGAAAATAGTATTAAAATATTTATTGAGAATAATTATTAGGCGTTGCCAGACTTCTGTTTTATGTATTTAAGACCTTCCAATCTACATAAAATCATAAGTGTTTTATATGGTTATACTCGTATTGAATAGAAGATTCCAATAATGACTGAATATACAGGGTGATGAATTTGAAAAACCGAAGTTACTAATAATATAAAAAAAAACGACAAATATGGCAAAATTGCAAATATCAACTATGGAATTTCCGTATCCCAAAATAGGTGTGCCTAAAATTTTATACAATTATGACTAGCAATTTACGAGATAATTGGCCGTTTCCAGACTTTTGGGCCACTCTTTATATGTGCATTGGTTGAATATTTAATATTTTTTGTATTATTTTACATTACAAAATAAATCGTTACCTGATATTTAAACATAAAATTGTTACACCAACAGTCTCCATGTGTTATGACCACTTTGTATTCTGGTTCTTTTAGTTTAGCCATATATTCGGGACTTATAGCTTGTTCATATCTTTTAAGATGTTCTGTTAACGTTGGATCATCTTCCAATGCCTTGTAACCATTAGATAAAGTAGTAGCCATAAAATTTTTAAACTTCTCCTGTTTATCCTTATCATCGTTAAATTGTTTTTCAAATGGATTATCTGCATAATCTTCTGCCAATTCTTTAAATAGTGCGGGATTTTTCTGTTTCATTGCAAATGAAACCGCGTGAAATTTAGCATATTCAATGAGAACTGCTTTAATGTGCCCAGGATTCATTGGAACTTTTTTATCCCATAAACCGTAATGTTGTGTTTTTAAATTCTCCATAACTAAACATTCAAGTTCGTCTTCAGTAAAGCATAAATAGCATTTAGGTACACTTTCGAAGGGATCTATAATAAATTAATATTGGATAAAAATTTTATTAATAAACTATTTAAGAAAATTAACAATAGTTTAATTGGAAATGCTATTTAATTTTGGTTTTAAATCGCATAAATTATGCTCTTTCTTAAATCAAAGCAACTTTAATTTATAATATACCATTGTAATTTTAACGTCATACTTGCTGTTGTTTCTACAGCTGAATCGTCTCATTTACCACATAGTGTCAACATTTTACGTAGTTCTGACGAAGCAGAAAAATTATGTGGAAAAACACTTATTTTAAAGCACTCGTTTTTTATTGTTTATATTATTGCTATATATTATAAGAATTAATTCCAGGTTAAACCGCGTCGAGTATTATTGCACCGAGCTTTCGACATCCTCTCTGATGTCTTCGTCAAGGCTTCCGATCTCTTAGTCTCCCGAGCGACCATACACTACAACACTGATCACCAATGCATTAAAAAAAACCTTGTCAACATGACGCACGGAGTGAATGTGCCGTGACTTCTCTCTCAAATTGATGAGGAAAAATTTGAAGATAAAACATTGTTGTTTTAATACTAAGACAAATAAAACGATAGTATGTGTGGTATGCGGAAAAAGTTATCATGTTTCCTGTGCCATTAAAAGCAAGTTAAAATGTTCTAAAATATGAAACACACATATGGTATGTTGTGAAAAGCAATCTGATATTACTGAACTCATGAATCTATTGAAGTTAAAAAATAAAATGCTAAGGCACTCATTGGAGGAAAAGGAAAATAAGTATAAATTACTGTTAAATAATAATGAACTCTTAAAATCTAATAACTATGTACTGCAAGAAAAAGTCGATTTATTGATGAGTTAAAAAATTATCACACCAAAGATGAAAATAAAATACCAATTAAACTGACCCACAAAATAAAAACATTGAAAATAAATATAAACAACCAATTCTATCAGATAATATCTTCCAGATAATGGAAAAATCCTGGGAGTTTGATCGTGAGCTTCATCAGATGTTCATAGATTTTAAACAAGCATTTGATAGAGTATGTAGGGATAGACTGTGGACAGCGATGCAGGAACTTGGCTTTCCCAAAAAAACTAGTCCGGTTGATACGGATGTGTATGGAATGGTTACGATGTAAGGTGAGAGTTGGACAACAATACTCGGACACATTTGAAATAAACAATGGACTAAAACAGGGAGATGCACTTTCACCACAACTCTTCAACTTAGCTCTGGAGCACATAATCAGAAGTGCAAGAATCGAAAAACCGAATACAGTATTTCATCGAGAATGACCAAACTTACTACTGGCATTTGCAGACGATATAGATCTAATAGGAAACCCGCGATTAAGGATGAAGGAGACTTTCGTAAGGTTTGAGAAGGAAGCAGAGAAGATGGGGCTCCAAATCAACGAAAACAAGACGAAATATATATATATATATATATAATATATATATATATATATATATATATATATATATATATATATATATATATGAGCCGCAATAACCAAAGCAGAGACAGAATCGGTCAGAACATTACCATCGATGACTTTAACTTTGAGCGCGTTAGAGAATTCAAGTATGTTGGAACAACAATAACTGAAGACAATAACGGATTACAAGAAATAAACAACAGGACTCAGGCTGGCAATAGATGTATTTTTGCCCTCCAAAACCTTATAAAATCAAAACAACTAACACGACGTACGAAGATACAGGTCTATAAAACAATCATACAACCCGTTGTGATGTATGGAAGTGAAACGTGGACGATAACAAAGGCAAATGAAGAGAGACTACGTGTTTGGGAAAGAAAAATCCTAAGGAAGATCTTTGGTCCGGTGCTTGATGAAGCATCAGGACAATATAGGATAAGAACTAATAAAGAGCTTGAAGAACTTTACCCAGACGCCAACATCATAAAAGAAATAAAGTCCAGAAGACTCCAATGGGCAGGACACCTCAGAAGACATTCTGACGAACAAACAGTAACTCCGGTGGCGAGATAATATAGCAAGAGACCTAAGCACTATGGGCGTGGAGAATTGGATGGAGGTTGCTCAAGACAGAAAACAGTGGAGGCATGTTGTCGAGTCGGCTAAAACCCACGAAGGGTTGTAACGCCACGGAGTAAGTAAGTAAGTAAATTCTATCAGATGTCGCCAATTTTGTATACAAAACAAATAACTTGTCAACAAACACACCTAACCTATAGGTGGAAAGCGAATATTAAAATAATAAAATGGATGAAATAATTAATCTCGCTTTGCCTATGGGACAGGACTCAAAATTTCCCGATGACCAACAACATGTGCAGGATTTGAGTGATTTTACAACAGTGCATTATAAGAAAAGAAAAAGAAACCGAGTTTCGAAGAAGAATATTGGACAAGATGAGGAGTGTGGTGATTTTGGTGCCGAGCGTAAAGTTTGGTTATACCTTTATAGAATTAAGCGGCATGTATCATCTGAAAATATCCAAGAGTTCGTAAAAAATTAAGAACAATTCTCCGACGCGGATGTTGTTGTAAAGAAACTACCGACTGAGGAAAACCGTAATAAGTGTTTTATGTTTGATATTAGCGAAACATACAAAGATCAAATCTACAAACAATCTACGTGGCCCAAAGGAATCGGTTTTAAACGTTTCGACTTCAAAGCATTCCACAACTACCAATGTAACAATAAAGATTTTTGAAGGAATTTCCAGATAAAAAAGGAATTAGTATCTCCCAACCAGGATCAAATAGAATCTTTGACAATACAGGGCACAAAAATAACATAATTATTATTGTCAAGTGTGGTCGATAATAAACTGAATACCAGTATATCTTAATTTAATATCGTTAATACCTTTTTGTATTATTTTATACAACATTATGTTTTATATACAATAAAGTTGAGAAACTGGAAGTATTTCTTTATTGGGCAGATCTTGTGCTTTTAACTGAGCACTGGTTGTATCCTCTGGAAACATTTTGTATTAAGGTGAAAGTGAAAATACAGCAAATATTTGATTTCACAACAGTGCCTTTGTATCTGTTGATACGTATTTCGACCTAATCGGTCTCATTAGAACAGAAACTATTTTACGATTTTATATTAACAATTATTCCATAATATCTAAATTTTGCAATCCTGAAAGCATCCATGGAGGCATGTTAATTAATTAATACAACGTTTTAGTATAAATTCAATTTTGTTGACTTCAATAAATTTAACCACCTGAGAATTGAATCTAAATTTGAATTTTTTATTATTTTCAGTAAGAAGATTAATACTTTTCTTATTGTTGTGTACAGACCCCCTAAGTCGATTATTCAGTTATTCTTTCAAATATTGAAATCCTTGCTTGAAAAAATTCCACGAAATTCTTTTATTATCTTGACAGGTGACTCTAATATTCATTATTTAGATTCATTACACAGCTATGTTATTACCAATATAAATTTACTTAATAGTTTTAATGTAAAAGTGCTAGTTATTGATCCAAGCAGAGATAACAGCATAATGGATTATATTTGTACTAATCTACATCCAGATCTGGATATGTACAAAGTGGTTCCCTATTTTTCATGGAAAAATAATATTAAATAATATAAAATAATATTAAAATAATATAAGGTGTCTTCATGGAAACTAATATTAGAAAAACAAGCTTGGAAGATCACTTGCCAGTACAAGGAAAATGTCGACGTTGCGCATATTGTAGCACCGCAAAGAAAACGAAAAGAATTCAAATTGTTTGCCGTAGATGTAAAGTGGCTCTCTATTTAGAATGCTTTGCACCATTTCATGAAATATAAGAAAATGTTTGATATACTGATTTTTAAAAATGAATACTTTTGTTCGTTAATTTTTGTTTTTATTTTGAAAAACAGAAGTGGTCGATATTTTGACTAGGATTTAAGCATAGAGTATATTGTCCTTGACAAACGATGGTCGAAAAAACGACCACCCCCTTCATCTCAAAGTGCAAACTTAAATATTTTTTTAAACATGGCAATATGCTAATTTTTCTTTATATAATTTATTTTCCTAATAAAAAAATAGTTGTGCGCTCTAAAGAGATAAGGTACAAATAAAATAATTTTTTTAATTTTAAATAAATGTTTCTCTATAATTAAAGAATAATGTTGTTTACCTTCAATGTTGTGTTCTTCTTGGAATTTTTTAAACTCTTTAAAAACACGTTCGTACAAAAATATTTCTCTATTATAAATGTCTCTAATGGGTGTAGCTTCTCTAAAACCCTTATTAGTATGGGAAGACTTCAAAATCAAATCCAAACTTTTTTCCTTGTCTTTGATGGTAATCGCAGTAACAACTCCAAGAAAATTGTCTCCTTTACTTGATCCAGAACTGGTTATTATTTCATAATCGGTGAATCCATTTTCACTAGCAATACGGTCTATTAACGCCCTGTGTTCTTTAGCGATATCCATTTCGGCGGATAACTTTAATTCTAACTACGCAGTCATCCAATTACAGCGTATATATTTATATAAGCGATAGCAATCCCGAAATTTTCTTTATCTATCTTTGATAATTTTTTAAGTATTCACCTGTGAGTACGTTTAAATTAGCGAGTCATCTAACTGATCATTCTAGTAATAACTGTAATAGTCACAATACAACATTTATAAAATATTTAAAGTGAATATATTTTTTTCAATTGCAAGGACATGTTCAAATCAAACAATAGTTATCCTACTTTAGATTAGATTATGTTTTATATAAGAAGTACAATCATCAGATATAATGATAATATATTATATATATATATATATATATAGGGTTGCAGTCAACTGCAACTGCAACCCTAATAAACTGTGTTATTTGTTTATATTGACAGTCAATAATATCCAGTATTTCTTATATATATATATATATATATATATATATATATATATATATATATATATATATATATAAATATATATATTTAGAAAGGGCTTTAGTGACTATGTGAGTAATATATACGGATATCTTGGGTTTAGTAGTCAATATTGGCCTTTAAGTAAAACTCTTTTAGGTTTGTTAAGCTTTCGAGTTTAATGTACTCTTTTTCAAAACGTACTAAAAATTAACATAAAAAATTACATTAAAAAAATGAAGTTATCATATCTTCAATAGGCTTACCCTTGTGAGGATTGTGTTTTAAAATTAGCAAAATTAATTAACATAATGACATTATTAAATTTGATTTAGTTTTTCGTTCTGTCAAAACTTATTACTAAGGTTTCCATGTCTCTTCTATTTTTTTATATTTATTTTAGGTGAGTTTGACAGAGGAAGTGTCTATCTTTATGCAAACCTTCATTGCAAATTTTGATATAATATTACAGTTATTAAACAAGCAACAGAGTTTATGTTACTAAGTAATTAAGAAAGAAAAAACACAAATAAAAATAAAATTAATCTCATTTGAACTTGGAATAATCCCTTTAATATGCGTAACTTTTAAGAACTTTTATAATGTTATGCTTTTATTTAAAAGAAGATTACTGTATAAAGCACTAAGATTTTCAATGTCTTCTGTTTTGTTTAAGGTGTTTTGTGTAGTTTTAATTAAACACATTTCTAGAAACAGTCTTTTGTTGTAATTTCTTTCCCTTCTCAATATTTCTGTTTGATCATAGTTAGGCGTATGGCCCATTGTAATACAATGTTCACTTAATGCATAGGCTTGTACTTTATTCAAATTAATATCACTCTTGTGAGATTTCTAATATATATAATATATTATATAATATATAATAACTTCATTTTTTTAATGTAATTTTTTATGTTAATTTTTAGTACGTTTTGAAAAAGAGTACAATAAAATCGAAAGCTTAACAAACCTAAAAGAGTTTTACTTAAAGGCCAATATTGACTACTAAACCCAAGATATCCGTATATATATATATATAATATATAATAATATAAATATATATACATATATATATATATATGTATACATATATATATATATATATATATTATTAAATGTCAATCTCACCTTTTCGTATGATGATCTAGATTCTAGATCATAGTCTTCTGGTACATCCCACGAGAAACCACTGCATTAAAGGTCCCTGATAATATCTCTAGTATAAATTATAATGGCTAGCACTATTTGCGCAAGATACTTTATTAATTATGGTAATCGGAGACCAAAATCCGGCAGGGAAGGACAACCATCAGAACACAAGGCTTCCTCGGTCGTCAACATGCGAAACCTTGTACAAAAAACAAAAAAAAATACTCAACCCTATGAAGAAGTATGTATCTACCGAGAAAACTACATAATGTTAAAAAAGAGAAAGAAAGGCTAAATATAGATATACTTGGGGTAATCGATGTACAATGGTCAGGAAATGGAGAGATATCAATAAATAACCACAGTATTTATTACACTGGAGGAGACAAAACTGATCATCGATACGGAGTAGCTTTCATCATAAGCAATACTATTAGAAAATCAGTGCTAAGTGTGATTCAAATTTTAGTAAGAATAATATTGCTAAAAACTAAAGCACGGAACTGTAATATTAATATGATCCAAGTCTATGCTCCCACAGCTGATAAGACCGAAGATGAGATAGTAAAGTTTTATTCAGAATTGCATAATACAATCAAGTTCTAATTCAACAAAATCTAGAGATATTACTTACATTTTCATCATCATCAACAGCCTCTATCAATCTACTGCTGGACATAGGCCTCCTCTGTTTTTCTTTAAAGTGTTTTATTTTGTGCTTGCTGTATCCAGTTTTTTGTTGTTTTTCGTAAGTGGCCTTGCCATCGTGTTGGTGGTCATTCTCTGCTACGTTTATCATCTCTTGGTCTCCATTCAACTAGTTTGGGAGTGCATCTTTCGTTCTTCATTCTGGCAACGTGTCCAGTCCATTTCCATTTTAAGTTGAAGCTTCTTTCAATGACTTAGCTCGTAGACCTTCGTTTCTAATCCTATCTCGCTGAGTGGCCCCTATCCTTGGGGCCACCTTGGAATGTTTCTGCACCATAGGTCATCACCGGTAGCATGCATTGGTCGAAAACTTTTTTCTTCATATTAGTTGGGATGTCACTCTTAAACACGTTCATAAGAACTCCGTATGCTGCCCATCCTTGTATTATTCTACTAGATACTTCGGTTGTTTGATTGTCTTTACTTATCCTAATTTCGTGACCCAGATATATATGTCTACCAATTCTATTTCTTCATTTTGTATTTCAAGGTGTTTACTTGGTACTAAGTTCGTCATATATTTTGTTATTGTTATATTCATTTTTAAACCTATTTTATGACAGGCTGTATTCATCTCTATAAATGTTCTTTCAACATTTTCTTTGTTTGTCCCAAATCGTCTGCAATCAGGACTATATCGTCTACGTAGCTTAGGTGGTGTAGCATCTCTCCGTCCACATTTATTCCTTTGTCACCCCATTCAAGGGGTATGATCGCTTTTTCTAGAGCCAATATAAAAAGTTTAGATGACAACGTATCACCTTGTTGGAACCTCTTTGGATTTTTATTTGGTTGCTGTTAGCGTGTATTTGTACCGAGCTTGTCGCATTTATATATATATATATATATATATATATATATATATATATATATATATATATATATATATATATATATATATATAAATGGTCAATGGAGCGATGCATGTTAGGTATAACCAAGAGAGATCGAAAAAGAATAGAATGGATCAGACAGAAAACGAAGGTCACTGATGTAATCCACCGAATAAAATCTTTAAAATGGCAGTGGGCGGGACATTTAGCAAGAAGAACTGACAATAGATGGTCCACTAGAATTACTCTGTGGTATCCAAGAGGCGTCAAGAGACCAAGAAGACGTCCAAATTTAAGATGGGACTATGACATAAGGAAACAAGCCGGTACAACATGGCACAGAAAAGCGAATATTAGACAGTCGTGGGCAGATATGAAGAACGACTATGTAAGGGAGGCTGCACCATAATTGGTAGAATACGCTGATAATGATGATGATATATATATATATATATATATATATATATATATATATATATATGTTAACTTTGATAATATACAAGGCAAATATCGAGCACAGTATTAATTTTATTTTGCCCAAGTACTTTCGATCACTAGATCATCTTAAGGGGCATTTCGTCAATTGCGGCCTGCGGTTCGAAAGTACTTGGGCAAGATTAAATTAATGCTGTGCTCGATATTTGCCTTGTGTATTATCAAAGTTCATTTATTCGATCATTCAACCTTATATTAATTTATTACATATTAGCCTCGAATATCGGCTATCAATGCAGCTCTCGTTTAATGCTTCTATGTCGAGTTCTACTGAGTCGCATGCTTTGTAGAAATCTACGAATGTTAAATCTAAGTGCTTGTTATATTCTATAGATTTTTCGATGAGCTGTTTTATTGTTTGAATGTGATCGTTGGTTCCAAAGTTTGCTCTGAATCCAGCTTGTTCTCTACTTTGATATAGGTCCAATTTCTTGTCTAATCTTGTAGTGATTACTCTCGTGAAAAGTTTATAAAAATGGTTTAACAGACTGATTGGTCGATAATTTTCCAGATCAGTTTTTTCTCCTTTTTTGTACAGAAGAATTGTTTTGGCTCTATTTCATTCAGATAGTATGGATTTCTTTGTCAAACATAGATTAAAGAGATCTTTTATTTTCCTCATTAGAGGTTTACCGCCATTCTTAATAGCCTCAATCACAATTCCATCGTCTCCTAGTGATTTATTGGATTTCATTTTATTCATCGCTTGTCTAATTTCACCGAGAGTTATTTCTGGCATGAGTTCAGAGCCTTGATTTAATATTGTTTTGCTTATTGCATCTTTAAGCTGTGTTTGGTCCATCCGTCTGCTTTTACAAAGTTTTCCATAGAAGTCTTTTACTATTGTTAAAAGCTCCTCTCTATCTGTTGTTATTTTGCCATTTTTGTTTTTTAATGTAATGTTCTGACTTTTTTCATTACTTAGTTTTCTTCGCAGATTTTTTAGGCTTTTATTATTTTCTATGGTTTGTTCAATCTTTAGTGTATTGTAATACTTACGTTTTAGGAGACTTTAATGCAAAAATTGGAGTAGGTACAGTTGGAAATATACTTGGACAGTTTGGATTAGGAACTAGAAACCAGAGAGAATAAAAGCTTATAGAATTCTGCCCATGAAAATAATATGGTCATTGGAATACTTGGTTTTAACTTTCTAATAAAAGACTATATACATGGACGTCTACTTCACATATAGAAAACCACATTATCAGAAACCAGATAGACTTTCTGCTCGTAAATTCCAGATATAAAAACTCTATAACTCTTATCCTAGAGAAGATGTTAACTCAAACCACAATCTGTGAGTTGCTGACGTGAAGATGAAATTAAAAAGAATTGAACTCAGAAAACCACAACCAAAAATTAATGTAAGAATGCTAAAAATGTTGTAATGTAAATGCTGTAAGAAAAACAAAGAAATAAAAAACGAATTAAAAAATAATGTTAATATTAATATGCAAAAAACACTAACTGACAACAAACAAATTATGGATGTAAATAAAAAGTGGTATATTATAAAAAACACATTACTGAAACCAGCTCAAAAAAGTTAGATACCACATAGGTCAAAACCTAAAAAACTGGATGACAGACGAAATACTATTACAAATGGAAGAAAGAAGGAAATATAAAGAAAAA